CTGTGCCTGGGGTTGCCCTGACCCAGGTGTACGACCTTGCACTTTGCCTTGTTGAACGTCATGAGGTTGGCATTGGCCCATCTCTCAAGCGTGTCCAGGTCCCTCTGGATGGCATCCCTTCCCTCCAGAGTATCAACCGAGCCACACAGCTTGGTGTCGTCGACAAACTTGGAGAGCTGTACTACCGTGGGATGGTGGCTTCTGCAGAGAGGCCTTTCCCCTGGTTTGAGGTTCTCACTCAGAAGGACTGGGAGACCTCACCATATGCAATGTATATATTACTAAGGCAATGTATGGCTTTCTGCTGTAAGCTGTTCTGTACACTTAGCCCTGTATTTCATACAAGAGGTACATTGGTGGTAGTCTTTATTGGAGAGATGGTTAAACTCCCTGCATCAGGTTGTGGGGCTCAGCAGCGCTGGTGTGGAGTACATGGTGCTCCTGCACTGGGATCTGGCTAAGACTGTCATGCCCATGGTTCCCATAGGCTCAGACAGGCAGGGAGCCCCTGGAGCACAGGGCAGGAAGCAGGTTCACATTGATATGTGTGCCTTATGCTCATGCCAGCTCCCTGCACAGACATCTGGTACTGATATATTCTGTAAACTATTGTTTTTCACTATTGTTTACTCTGGCTTTTACTATTGTTTTTTATTAAAATGGCTGGTTTGTGCTGATGTATAGTTGTGCCTGGTTCCTGTGGAGCCATATTTCAGACAGCTTTTGGTTATGCTTGCCTGGTGACTAATTACTTTTAGGCTGAGTATTGCTTTTATTGCTTCTTGATTCTCACCCTCCCTGTGAGTAGCTTTGTGGTTTTCTCCTCTGAACCCCACCAGTGAGTGGCTTTTCATTTCATTTATATGCATTGGTCTGGTTAACCACTTGCCACCCCACTGTGTATGAGCTCAGGATGGAAAGTCCAGCACCACAGAAATAACTGCTGCAGAAGGGTTTCATCCTGAGCTTCAGTAAGGAAATAGATTTTTTTTTCTTTTTCCTCTTCAGTCCTGTTTCTTTTTAAAATAACTCATGCAGTTTTTTCCCTTAGTCCAGCCACCCCCATCATCCACCCATGTCCTTCATCATATCACAGGACTTATGCGGTTGTTTGGTGAGGGTAGGTAGGAGCAGTGTGTACCTCCCCGCCACTGTTCCTCCTTCTCTAAGCTACTTCCTCTCCATGCAGCAAGAGAGGATGTTTCCAGAAAAGTGTTCAGGGGAGCAGCTGTGAAGGGGGGATTGGAGCTGAACACTGAGATTATTTTGGATACCAGAAAATTTGTCTTGGATCTGTTGAAATGTTTTATTCTGCCAGTCTTGGCTGTGCTGGGAAAAAACAAACTGTAGAAAATATTCCCTCACTAACTTTTCACCACTGCTTAAAGTTTACCTTGCAATTCTTCCTGTGTCCTTACTTAGCACTGCTCCCCAGCCTTTCCAAAATACCAACACTGGTATTGCTGGTCTGCTTCTTCAGCCATGAGAATCGTCAGTTTTCTTCTTGTGCTGCTGTGGCTTCATTTGTCTCAAAAGCATTTGCTCCCTGAGAGCATGCTATTTATTAACAGCCCCAGGACGGACCTTACTTTAAATCCATTTTGTTTTTCCCCTCAGATCCAAAATGTCCAGGGGATGTGGATCTCCAAAGTGGCGACTGGGACATCAAGACGATTACCAGCTCACTGAAGTTTTATCTCAGGTAGTGCTGCAGGTCTCATCTGCCCCAAGTGGGCAAAAGAGCTTGGGCCTGATCTCATGAAAAGCAGAGTGAACTGCCAGATGTTAACACCTGGCTGTTGGGAGGGGTAATGCGTTGACAAAGGCTTTGGAAAGATGAATGCATTTTTTGGGTTGATTTTGGAGAAGTTCTTTTTGTTTTGGTTTGGTGTTTTTTCTATTTTGAGAAATATGCCAGTTGTGGAAAAACCCCATCCTATGCGGAAAGCTGTTTAAGTAATACTGGCTGGGGGGCAAGATGCGACGGGGAACTGGTGGTGCTGGACAGTGAGCTGGTTTGCCTTTTGGTCCTTCAAGCTCAGCCAGGAGTCGGTCAGTTGCCCTGCCAGAGCTGTTTTCTTTCTGGTTATTGCAGGAACCTATCAGAACCCGTCATGACATACAAGCTCCACAAAGAGTTGGTCCTGGCTGCCAGTAAGTTCTTCCGCCGCGCTGCCACCAGTCCCTAGCCGTGCCCTCTGTGACCAGTGTACATCAAAGTCACTTGACTGAGCTTTTCCAGCCTGACACTGGGTGTCTGGCTACTTTCCCCCATAGAAAGAGGAGTGACCCTCTCTTCTGAGTGCTTTAAATGTGGTATTTCCTCCCTTTGCAGTTATTGCAGTGCTCTTCCCTCCAACAGGGTTTCATGCTCTTGGCGGGTTGGGAGAGCCAGGAGATGTCAACTAACCTGAAATCAGCACCAGTGTCCCAGAAGAATTGTTTCTCAATAGTATTAATATATTTATTTTAAAACCTGTGAGGGAATGGGATGTGCTGTTGCCCTACGGATAGATACTTTCACCCTTTAGGTTGTGAAATTTGTCCTGGAATGTGGAATCCAAAGTGTCTACTAGTATATGAAAGATATTTTTCTGCTGCAGCTCTTGGGACTGAGCCACTACCACTATTAACAGAGGTTAGCCAAGTAGCATCTGTGGAACTGGCCCATCCTCGGCCATCCTGTTGTTATGGCCATTTCAAATAAGCCATAATAATTCTGATCTGGCTGCATCTTTGGAGCCAGTGTGGTGGGATGGAGACTAGAGGGATACAGAGAGTTGGTCATCTCCCTCAGCAGGAGAGTACTGGCATTTGGAAATTCATGATACACTCAGAAACACTTTGGATTAAAGCATCCTTCACACCCCCGTGCCTCCTTGAACTCAACGGGAGGGTAGGAGAGTGCCCACCTCTCCTAAGCTTGGACCTCCAGAGAATTAATATCACTTGTTCTTTCTTGGAAAGGAAAATTTTCCACCACTACTGGTTATGCTTAAGTCCAAGATTTATTAGTTTCGTTACTGGTTAAACCAATGTTGCCTGGGTATGTGCAAAACCATAATCCCTTCCGTACCCTCCCTCAGAATCTCTCACCACTAAGATTCCCAACTACCAACATCCCACACTACTCTTTTCACACTGAGTATTTTACTGTTTCTTGATTATTTATGCTTCTAAGGGTGACCTTTTTGGGGCAGGAACTCAATTTTTTTCCTTGCAAGACATTTTACCATTTTGTTCAGCATCACAGCTCTCTGGGCTGATAAGACACCCAGCAGAGAGGCTGTGCTTTCTCCAGGTGTGCTGGTGTATGGGGTAAGGGTGCAAAGGGCAGGTCCCAGCCATGCCCAGCCTGTTTCTCCAGCCACGCTGGCTTCTTTTCTTCCATTTTCAAGCTTCATTTCTTCCACTTTCCACTTCATTTTGTTTCTCACAATGATTTACCCTGTTGCTATGTAATCTCACTTTCCTTCTGCCTCCCATCGCTGGGTTTGGCCAGGCAGCTGAAGGAGGAACAGCTCCCATGGATTTTCTTTGGCTTTATCTTACGTTTTTACTTTGAAAGTGGTGGGCACAAACTTTTCATTGTGTTACCTTTTCATTGTGTTACCAGAATCCGAGAACTTGGATTACAGGCTGGGAGCCATTCATGCGCTGGTCTATAAACTACCTGACAAGAACAGAGAGATGTTAGAGCTCCTCATACAACACCTTGTCAAGTAAGCAGAAGTTTTTCTCTAAAGCCAGAGTAAGGGGAGTAATAGAAACAGCAGAACAAGCCTTTTTTTTCTGTGTCAGCTTTGCAAAATTATATCCACCACAGTCCCTTTAGCAATTTACTTTTGGACTGCACAGATGGTATGGTTATCTTTGCTACCCACTGCATTAAGTGATGCTTCTCTTCCTAATTGCCACTTTCATCCCCTTTCTGACACACACCATGCAGGGAATAATTTTAACATGAAAATACCCTCTGGCAGCATAGCTATAAATTGTCACCTCTCACTCCAGTTAATACAAACGTTAGGTCTTGAGCTCAAAACCAAGGGAGCAGTCTGTGTGCAGGTCAGAAAGGACCAGGGCTTCCAGAACCAATGACTTTTGTATGACAGGGCTTGCTTTGGACTTTCGGAATTGTTTTCAAAATGGGACTGTTTCAGAAATAAGCAGGAGTGATCTGGGGTTGTCACACCCTGACACTCAAAGTAGAGTGCTTGGCTCTCGGTGCTGTACCTTGTCTTTAGGGCGAGGAGACCTGGCTGGGGGTCCTGGTTCCAGCCTTTTGTGCCCATGTTTGTGTGGTTTTTAGAAACCTTCCTGTGTAAATGGCAGAGCTGTGGTCTGATGAAGCTAACATTGTGCTTGTGGTCAATGTGTTTGTTCCTTCAAGTGTTTATGCTTAAATTCTGTTCCCTCTCCTCTCATGCTGACAGAAACCTCTTTAACACCAGAGCTGCAGGGCAAACCCAGAATTAAACTCAGAATTCATTCCATGTCAGCATCAGAGTCTCTCCTGTGGTCTACTTCTGGAAATAGGTAGTACTCACCTAAGTGGTCAGTACTTCAGTCAGCTATTGGTGCTGCTCTGCAGACATGCACAGTCCTGGACAGAGAGAGCTTTGCTCTTTGAAAACGGTGAGATTTCTGAGAGAAATCTCAGAAAAGAAGATTTGAATTGAACCCTATGAAGAAGAAAATCCTAGCAGCTAAAGGAGGTCATGTAATCATTGAATGCAAGCCCAAAGCTGCACCAGCTACTAAGAAGGAGAAAAAATGACTGCTGTAGCTGAACCCAGGACAGTTTTAATGAAAACTCCGAAGCGTGCTCCCTGCATTCAGTCCTCCTCCTTCAGAGAGTGTGAAAACTAAAGCAAAAGTCAGTTCCGAGTAAATAGGATATTCCAATTTAAATTACTCCTTTGTGTGTATGTTGCACAGATGACTTTTGATTGCAGAATTAACAGAGGAGCTGGGAATGGGAAAGGATCAAATAAAAATGCTGTCAGCATGTTGCTCTTCCAAATGGTTGTCCTGGCCAAATGTGTATGTCAGAGCTAGAGACATGATTTGTCTCTGGAAGGGTTGGGAAACAAATTCTCCTAAAACAAAATGAAGAAAATTGAACCACTGATTCTTACTGTATCATTTTTTAGTTGCTTGGAATAAGATCAGTTTGAAGAAAACCAAACAAACTAAACCCTATTCCTTCTTTCCCTCCTCTCCACAGTATATGTGAGCACAGCAGAGAGAATCTGATGTCACCATCTAACATGGGGGTGATATTTGGACCTACCCTCATGCGTGCACAGGAGGACACCGTAGCAGCGATGATGAACATCAAGTTCCAAAACATAGTGGTTGAGATCCTCATCGAGCACTTTGGGAAGGTACAGGCAGCAGTCCCGGGAGCAGCGCGGCACAGCTTCTGGCTGCTTCATCCTGTTCATGCAAACTGTTGCTGTGGCAACGATGTAGAGCTCTTGCTCCTTCTTCCAGAGTCTCCTTAGGGACTGGGATGATTTTATATAATACACTGTTCTGAAATGCTTCAGAAGGAAACAAAGTGTAGCAGGTATGTTTCTTGCTATTGCCTTTAGCTAGTTCTGAAGGACACCCTGAGTCTAGGATCTTTTGTTTTTAAATAAGAGGAATCTTTATTGGGAAAAAAAAGCAAAACACCAAAAACCTTTTCTATGCCTGGACATTTCAGGACTTTATGCTTTCCTTTGCTGAAGACAGGAGCTAGACCAGAGCATAACTGGTTTCAACAGGCACAGTCCAAGATGAGACACTATACAATACAGGGGAGAAAAACCCAAAGCAGACAAGTATTGAAAGGTTGATGAAAATAACTCAGCAGTGCCTACGATCTGTTGGGATCCAGGCAGGCCTGGGGAGAGGAGCTGCTGCCTGGGGTGGAGCTATCAGAGAAGACTTGAGCAGGCAGCAGGTCCTGTTGTGTGAGGCAGAGCTCGGCACAGGGTAGTGCTCAGCATGGGGCAATGCACCCTGATGAGGCTCCAGAAGCACCTGCCTTTCACAAGACCTTTGCTGAACATTTTTGTGTGAGAGCATTGCCTGAGTGCACAGCCTGGCTTAGTTTGCTGTGGTGGGTACTGAAAATTCATGTGTAGACAACAGCTGCTTTGTCGTGTGGCATTTTGTTTCCTGTTGGAAAGCAGAGATTTCTGCTGTTTCCTGTGTTAGCGCTTTCTCCTTGTACTATCTGATACAATCGCTTTGGGTTTTCAGGGTGGCTGGAGGATAGGTGGTTGTATGTTAATATTTAAAAACTTGAGCAGCATTTGCGTTCTGGTCAGCATAGCAGGGACCAGATTTCTTTCCTGGTAACAATGCTAAGTTCAGGGGAGTGAGTTTGGTCCTTCAGCTTTTTGTAATACTTTACAGAATGTCCAAACAACCTCTTATGTCTTAGAGTAGGGAAAGCCATCCTTTGAAGAATGGTGTTTGTTTGTTGTGAGGAGGTTGGGGTAGCGCTCTCAGCAGACAGGGCAGCACATGTACTGAAGTGAAGCTCCCTTTTTGGGAAGAGGAGGCCAAAACTGAAAGAGTAAGGTTCTTGGAAAAGCAGATGTGGATTTGGAACAACCAAACAAGGACCAGATGCGTAGTGTGGGATTTGATTGTGGTGCTCAGGATTGAAATGAGAGAAATGGAATGAAAGAACTCGGAGAGGCTTTTGAGCATCCACACAAGAAACTCATGAAAAACACAAGCTGGTTTCTTTGTAGATCTCTGTGAATGTTTTTAATAAGTTCCCACAGCAAAACAGTGAATTGCTTGTATTCTGGGATCCTCACACAACTTGCTGAGAGCTGAGCCTCTGCCTTCGCTATTGTACAGCCCGTGGTGCAGGCTGAGTCAACGCATCATCTATACTGCCGCCTCTAGGAGATGGAATTAAATCTTTAATTAAGCCAGATGTCTCTTTGCTTGCTTTTAATTTCTTCAGCCATAAGGTTAAGTTAGTAACATTTATTAGATTGAGCTTGTAAGTTCAGCTTCAGAGCTGGAAGTGTCTTCAGCTCACACATGAGCAAACACTTTAAATGAGTCTGAAGGAAGAGGGGAATATGGTTTACATGGTGTGATATGAAGACTCTAAGGACAAAGAAACTATTTGTGAAGTCTTAGTGTGTAATTACTGTTTCCACAGCTCATATTTCAGTTAAATTAAATAAGTTGATGATTCTGGAAACGCCTTCTTCGCTGTGCAAACCTTCTAAATATGAGACTCTGTCAATATCTTTGTACTTTCAAGTTGTTTAACTTGGATTTTCATTTAGAAGGCAGAAGCAAAGCAGAGGCTGCAGCCACATCTTAAGAAGAGTAGTTTGCAGTGGGGTTTAGCATGGGTTTCAGATGTGGAAAAGCATCTTGTGAAAACAGCATTCTGTGGTATCTTTATAAGCATCCATGGAGAACTTACTCTTTTTCTTTTCAAAACAATATTGGATTCTTGTCAATATATAGGAATGAGGGTGATGTTTCAAAAACATGGCCCTGCTGCAGGTAATCATTTGCTATTTTAATAATACATGAGCTGCTGCTTTTAAATCATGGGCTGTTTCTGTCACAGCAAATTCCTCCGAATCCAGACAGGGGGAATGCACCCGACCTTGTATTCTGGAGCAAAGAAAATGTAGTACCCCTGCAAAGGGCAGAGCCCCTGCTTGGCATTAAGCATCAGAGGTCACCAAATAGGGAACGAAAAGCAGTTGACATGACCCATTTTGGGTCAGCTGGGTCTTTGCCCTTGATGTGTTGTTCCTCCTCTCTTCAGGCACAGTAAGTCAGGAGCAAAGCCTGAGTAACAGTACATGGTATTTGTACTGAGCCTGCTGAGGGGAAGCCTGGGCAGAACAGGCTGGATGCAGTTCAGGTCTGCCCTTGCCCAGGTGAGGAGCCCTGTGCCCACCCTCACTGTGTTACACGGTCCCTAGTCTTCAAGATCAAGAAGGTTAAAGGGGGTTGTGTTTTTCTCTCTCAGCCCCATTTTGATTTTCCAGAACTGCTTTTTGGCTGGGAGAAGAAAGAATATGCTTTTGATTTGTGTTACCAAAATGTCATGCTTAATCAAATCAGAATGTTGAATTTCTTCATTTTAAAATTTTTATGAGTGACATAATAAAATTGTTCTTCCATAACAAAGCATGCACTGAGAAAGCAGCGACCCTGCTTGTTGGTGAGACTGGCACCTGCGCTTGTCCTCTGAGCTTGGGCCATCTCCTGCTGACAGCAGGAAGGGACTAGCTCCATCATTCTTCCAGGATGGGCTGTGTAGCCTCTGGTCTCAACAACTCATGCCAGCCCATCCACAGTAACTGACTCTAAAGCCTGATATAAATTCACTTACTATTCATTAGAAAAACACAAGAGCACTTGGGTTTGGTCTTTAATGTGGTGGTTCAGATCTTCAAGAAACTTCCTTGAAGCTTAATTCTTTGTCATCTCTTAAAAAAAAGCTCTGACAGAAGTAACCTCTAAATTAAACCCAACCAAATAGGTGCCATATCACCAGTGAGAAAATGAGATAAAACTCCTTGGCATCATTGTTTTTATGCCAATATTTCATCCAAGACAACTTCATAGTGCCACACACTTCGTTGTAAGCCAAGAGCTGAAGGGTTTTTAGCATTAAATCTAATACAATTTGTTTGGGTGCTTTCCGTAGATTATATCAACTCACTGATGTGGAAATCTTGATGTTTCTCAGAACCTGTCAGCTTCAAAGCTCCCTTCTTCTCTTCCAGGATAAATTGCTTCTACACGTTTTGTCTATATTGGCGATTTTACTGAATTCATTAGTTTAGAGCTGCAGGAGGTGTGCAAGGTGCAGAGCAGGCAAAAGGAAGGCCGACAGCGGGACACATGTATGGATCTGTAACTAAAGCAGTGGCCCTGCTCCAGCCCCAGCAGCTGGGGCTCTCCCGGGTGCTGCTGATCCTTGAGGGCACCATCTCTCCCCATCCAGAGAGGCACGGAGCTCATGGGGCTGGAGTAAACGGCTGTGAGGGCCTTGCCAGGTTCTTGTGGGCTGTGGTTGGTCAGTGTGGTTTGGAGCAGCTTTTCCAGCCCTCTGGGGTCAGCCAGGGCTGTCTTAGGCCACAGGCTAAGAGAGGAGTTGGGCGGCCCTTGGCACAGGCAGCAGCTGGGTCTTTGCTCCTGATGTGGTGTGTGCTGTCCTCAGCTGCCCGGCACGGCATGGTGCTTGGCTGGGGATGGGGGGTCTGAACCTTACACTGCTGGAGCTATGAGGCCGTAGGGAAGGTGTCTGGGGTGGCCACCATCCCTCTCTGTGCTGGCAGGTGGACCTTCGGCTGGAGGTGCAGCAGCAGCCCCTTCGGGTCAGGCCATCTAAATGTGTCTGTCTTTACAGATCTACTCTGGCCCACCAGAAGATACCACGGCTCCCCCAGTGCCTCCTCCAAGAGTAGCTGCCCGGCGGCATAAACCCATCACCATTTCCAAACGTCCTCTAAGGGAAAGACCCGTCTTCTTCGGCGCTTCTGTAGAAGAAAGTGGAGGTCAGTCCAACTGTTCACTGGTGCCTTACCTGCCTCTCATCCCTCCTGTTTCTTTTAGCACCTTTCAGGGAGCAATCACAGGACTGCACTTCCCAGTGCTGTAAACACAGCAAGTTGTTCAGCGAGTAAGGAAAGCAAAAAAGTCCTCACAAATAGGCTGCATCATCTCACAACTCAAACTCCTTGGGAATTTTTTTCCCATTACTTGCAGCATTCTTTGTTAGCTAAGCTAAGAGGTTTTGCTTCAGAGGCAAAAATGCAAAGTGATGCAAGTGCAGCTGAGGAGCAGAGGTGGTGGGATGAGAGTGGAGGCTGTGTGCTGCTGGAGCCCTGTCCCACCAGACCATAGCAGTCCTGAGAGGTCCCTGCTGGTTGTATATCTAGAGCAAGAACTTCTTCAAGACCCAGTGACAGTATTTTCTAGACCAAGTACAACGCAGCTGTTAAATTCATTTGATTGTAAGGAAATACTGAGTCCCTTGTTATCATATTGAGGGCACATCAATGTAAAATCATGCTTCTCTCTGCACGCGATCTGCTGTAATTGTCGTTGCAGGCTGTGTCCGTGGTCACATCGTCAGAGACAAAGTCTTTTCCGCTGTTACAGTTTTTTAGAGCTTTGATGATGTTTTAGGCTTAATGCTACAAGTGTATTTTTTGGCACTGTCAAAACACGATTGATGCAGATTGCTCATGGAAATCACAAGACTGCTCATGTAGTAAGAGACAGCCTTGCATTTAAATGTTTCTCCCAACTGGGAGCAGAAGCATTAGCATTAGATGCAAGGCTGCAGAGTGCAATCAGTTTCATAGCAGTGCTTCTGCATCCCCTGCCTGAGCCTCTAGCACAGCAAGAGGGATGAGTTGAATGATTTTTGGAGGGATGTAAAAGCATGCTACACAACTTGTCATGAGCAAGAGCACTGGAAATTTAAAAGGAACCCACAAGTATATTCTGTGATACTGTTTCAGCTTTCTTCATGCCTCAGCATTTGCATGAGCCACTCGCTGTTTGCGTTTTGCTCAGGGTGAGGGTCTGTCGATCCCCCACCACACACGTGCTTGTCTCTTGGTACCACAGGAGCTTTGTGGCTCTGGGGCACAGACCACCATGCCTCCATGCTGCTTCCTAACCCGGTGTCTGTCTGTCCTGTTGGCTCCACAGCAGACCGGCACAGCCAGACCCCCAATGGCAGCAGCAGCAGCACGGAGGTCCCCAAGCCACTGCACCGCAGCCGCCTGCCCGCACCCCGGCTGGGGGGAGAGGAGCCGGGGCATCCCCCTACTGAGGGCCGGCCTCACCCGCGCACCGAGGCAGAGGTGGGGAAGATGGTGGCCAAGCTGCAGGATGGAGGAGTGAAGGCAGCCAGTAAGGCAGCCAACGGTGTGGTGGCCAGCCCTGCCCTGAGGACCTCCACACTCCAGGCCAAGAGACCTGCTCCCCGACCAGGGATATACGGCAGAGAGGGTGAGCGTGCGCCTGGGGCCATGGTCCTAGGTGAAGCAAGGCACAAGGAATGCCATTCTCCTGAGGAAAGATCAGGGCGCCGAAAGCAGCCTTCCCCATTGTGCATCATGTGCTGGGTTGGCCAAAGTGGGTGGTGGGCTTCTCGCCTTGAGTCCTCTTGATGTAACTCAGCAAGAGGGATTGGGAGGCCAGAATAGCTTGACCTGTGGGCACAGGCCTGCAGACCCAGGGTTTGATCAGGTCTTGGCCTCCTGGTTTGTCCTGGTTTATTTCAGACAGTGGGTACCTTTGTTGTGTTGCTTACTGGGGGTGCAGCTGCTGCCAGGTTTCGAGGCAGCCTGCAGAGCTGGTGCTGGTGCCAGTGCTGTGCTTTCCCTGCTGAGCCCATCAGATGCCACCAGCATCAGATGAAGTCAGGCTTTCTGTGCAGTAGCTGAGCCTCTTGTGCTAAGCTCAGCCTAGCTCAGTGGACTCAAAATTGAGGCTTGAGTAGCAATCTAAAGACCATTAAACCCAAAGCAATTTGTATCCAGTCTAACCAGCCGTAAGCACTCTGGATTGTCAGTGCTTTCCTCAGCAGGATGAGGAAAATGGCCAAAGTCATTTTCACATTTTAATTTCTAATGGTTTTGTCTGTCAGGCTGCCTATGACGTAGTTTCTGGTTTATTGAGGCCTTACTGGGAATGATTATTTCAATGGTTCACTTGTTGGTGTTAAATATAAATAGTTACTATTTGTATTCTAATAAGCTTTGTAGAGACACCAGAGAGCTGTGCGCAGGACAGCACACATTGCTGTAACAATGGGTATTTGGTGCTGAGCTTTATAAAATACTCAGGCACTGGAGGGAAGGTGTTGGGTCACCAGGGGTGTCAGGTAAAGTCTGACACTTATTCCTTATTCACTTCACACTTGAAAGTCTCAAAGGATGAAGTGAGTAACAAGGTTGGCTGAATCTTGAGGAAGACAAGCCGCTGAGACAGGAACTTCTGTGAGCAGAGCAGAAGACTGGGGAAGAGTACAGATAGTGCCACTGTCTGAGATAAAAACTCAGAGAAGCAGCAGCCACAGACTGCAGGGATCAGCAATTTGTGCTGTTCTTGCTTTTGAAGAGCAGCACTGCACAGGTTTTGATTAAGAAAGCTTGCCATTCTCAGGCAATGTCATCTTTGCAATCAGCAGCTATATCAAGTTTGTCATCACGAGGTTCAGCATCAGGCCCTCTTTCTAGTGCCAGGAAGGCTGTGCTGGGGCAGGCAGAATGGGAACTGCCTTTTTCTGGGACTCTTTTCCTAAAT